TGCTCTGCTGGACGGGGAGGGCCAAACCTGCGGTGAAAGGGGGTTTAGTCCAGTCGGCTGGTCACAGGTTGTGTTCCCCAGGGCTGAGCGCTGCCCTCACCTCTTAGGTGGGGTGCTCAGGGACACGGGTCGGCAGCGGGCGGGGAGAACCGGGTTAGTAGAGCTGGGTTACACGGTGCCTTTATTTCCACGCCCTGCTAGACCCCTGCGGTTTTGCTCCCGGCCACAACTCCTGCGTGGATCGGCTCCCTCCAGCTCGCTGCTGATCCGCCCCGCTTCCACGTAGAGACAGAGCGGGTGGGCAGTGAGAGGCTCGTCTGTGGGCAGGTGAGAGCACAGCTTGGTTTCGCTAGTCCTAGAGCACCGGCTTTGCCGCCGTGCCCGCCCCACCGCGCCCCTCACTGCAGCGGAGCCCGCAGCGGCACCGCCTCGGGAGCACCGCTCTGCTGGGGACTTTTCGCTCTGTTAGGAGCAAAAAAACACACATCACGTTTCAGCTTGATGGGCAGAAGAGCGGGGAAGGGAGGCAGCCCCGACCCCCTCCTGGCTGGTGCCACCCCCCGACGGGGGGGGGGTTGCAGGCAGCGGAGAGGGACGTGCCCTGCCTCGCTCAGCATTGCCCCTGCGCAGGGCAGGGTGGGCTTGACTCACTGTGGCTTCTCGAGGTCCTCGATGCCCTCGGGCAGGCGCAGGTTGAGCGTCTCCGGGAGCAGGAAGGCCGCCGAGCCGCAGCAGACTGCTACCCCGCAGTAGGTCACCTCGGGCAGGGACCTCCACACCCCATCCAGCAGGAACACGAGTGGGGCCAGAGCCCCGCCGAGGCGTGCCAGGAAGGAGGTGTACCCCATGCCGTTCTGCCTGGAAAGGCAGGGCACAGTGATGGTGCAGTTCACCACAGGAAAGAGATGGCTGCTTTTTTCGTATCAGACTCTGGGGAAAAGTGCAGACCCTCTGCCCCTTCCCCCTGTTTTTGTCTTAAGTGCTGATGCTCTTCCCCTGCAGGTTTTCCCACTGCAAGTCTTTTTTCCTAGGTTGTTTTATTTCTTTCTTCTTCTCTTCCTATGATGGTATTTCCCAGAGAGCAGCTGTAGCTGCTGTGCATGTGCAGAGCAAGTACTGCAGGTGGAACCAACAGTTTTGTCTTTTATCTGTCAATGACTTGGAGCATGTAAAAATACAGACCAATCCGAGAAGAAAAGTCAGCGTGTTCACTTCAGTTTCAGTCTGCATCATTTCCCCACATGCAGCAGGCCCGTGAAAGTTGAAGGACTGAAGGGTAGAGAAGGTTACTCTGGGTAGGGAGGGGCAGAGGTGAAGAAAGCCACAAGGCCTGCTGTGTGACCCATGAAGGTTTTTTCAGACCTTCACAAATAAGCCAGTGGAGTGATTCCGTCCACCCGTCTCAGTTATATTCCAAGCTAGGCTGGTGCTAAGTCTAGTTTTATGTCACTGGTACCCAGATACTTTAAGTAAGCTCTCTCTTTCCTCCTGAAAGGCTGGAAGTCAATCCCTGCTTTCATATAATCCGATGTGTAGAGGACTGTCAAAGGTGGTAATATGTGTCTCTTATAAAACTTGAGATTTCAGATTATTATTTTGGGGGTCTTTTAACAGTTATGGGCATATTATCACAGGGAACTAAGGCTTTACTAAGCACAGATGCCTCGTGGAGTTAAAGAATCTTCCCCCATAGAGCACTCCCCACCTTTTGATACATCTGATCAACATAACCTAACCACACGTAACTCGGGTAGAAAAAGGATGGTGTCCTGCCCCTTTCTTGTGACTGTATGCAATCCCTAGAACCTGCTGCTTCTACAGGCAAGGAAGGCATCAGTGCTGTGGTGTAGCCAACTGCTATGCTGCTGTTGAGGACCTGAGGGTGACATCCCACCCAGGCTCTGGTTGTGCACTCAGGCGAGTGGCATCTCTTACCTCAGCACGGTGGGATAAAGCTCAGAGGTGTACAAGTAGACAGTAGTGAATGCAGCTTCTGAGAAACCTTTGCCCGTAATGGCCACTACAGAACGCAAGGAGGTGAAGGCTGGGAGGAAAGAAAAGACATTAGGACAATGGTCAAAGGGCAGTCGATAGGAAGAAGCTTCTTGTGGCCTCAGGTGCAAGAAGGGAGAAGGTTCAATGCTCCTACAGACAAAACAGGGACCTTCATAGGACTGGAGTTGCTGTCTCCACAGTCTGCATCAGTAAGTTTGGTAACTGTTAGCCTGAGTGGGAGCTCAACTGATGAAAGGATAGGGCTGGACGTTTCCCATTGGACAATGCTGATAATGAAGATAGGTTCTTCATCTTGCCATCACTGGACCCACTTCACAGTGTTGCCACCAAATATTAGGGCCAGCCCACATTAGCAACCTTGTCACACAGGTGCTTTTTAGGTGGAAGACACCTCTGCACAGAATTGCCTGTGGACAAGATCTTCAGTTCTCCTTCTCTAATACTGCACAGAATGGAAACCTCCCCTTTAGCAAGTCCTGCATATAGCAGGAGAGCATCTCACCCTTGGGAATGATGACGTTGGCTCCTATGCACAGGCCGGCCAGTATGAGCGTCCACGCCTGGCTCTGCCGTCGCCCGACCCGGTTCACCAGGACGTACATGATCACCTTGGCTGGAATCTCAATGACGCCAAAGACAAACTGGGAGAGATACATGTTGAGCCCAAAGCCAGTGAGGTTCATGCTCATGCCGTAGTAAGAGAAGGCAACACCAAACCTGCCAGGAACGTGTGGAGATGGGGGTTAGGGCAGCCTGGCTGCGGGGCTGATCCCCTGTGTGAAGTGACTCTGCTTACCACACTGCCCCAGAGCACAGGGAGATCTTCCGCAGGACTGGTGTCCTAAACAAGCTGATGTAGGAGTAACTCCTTCCTGGCTTGTTGTCCATTGCCATCCTTCTGAGGGCCTGGGAGAGGTGGAAAGAAGGAAATTGCTCAGCTGCTGTACTTTTGGGACCCAGGCACAAAACCCCTGACAGACCTTTGGGCCTTTGCCCTTCCCAGCTCCAACTCCACCTTGGATTTTCCATACATTCCCATTGCAGAATAATTATTGGGAATACACTGACAGAGGCACATCTTCCTACAACTGTATAGATTGCCTACCATTTTAGACCTTTTTCTCTTCCCATGACCCCTCGATCCCTCTTACCTGCATACCCCGTGTGGCAGAAAGGGTTGCAAAAAAATGGCAGATCATTGTGTTGGCAAAGGGTGTCTGTTCAGCACCTTGATGAACCTTTCCCACATTATCTAGTGGTTTGTTGAACCCACGCTTTTCTTTTATTTCTGTACACCCATCTCTGGGTCTGGTAGCTTTTGTTAATACTGCAATATGGTAAGTAAGTTAATTTTTTTAACTTTTAGCTTTTTTGCTTTTTTTTTTCCCCCCACTTAGCCATTCTCGTGGACAAATCAGAAGTCATCTAAGTGCCTAGGATATAACAGATTTCTTCTGCAATGCTGAAAATTTCAATATTAGATCCTGATGGCACTCTGTCCTCTGAGTTGCACAGTTTGCTGTTTAAAATGGGCAACTTAAAATATTAACATGGAAAAGCTCTTTTAGTATGTGTTGTTAGCCAGATTATTTAGCATGTGGAAGGACAACTGGGAGAGCCAGAACAGCCAGCACCTCGAGAAATTTAAAATGCACAGCATTCAGTGATGGCTGGGGAGGAAGAAGGGTACAGGAATTTGCAGGCCTACAACATCACCTACAATTAAGATGGTGCTGAACAGTTACAGGGCCTGGGGACTTGCAGAAGTACCTAATAAAGGAGAAATCCCAGCCCAAAGATCTTTCTGGTTAAAATAATGGCACAAAATGAAGAAAAGTTAGAAAAGGGAAGGGGATAGCTATAAACATTTCACTAGGGAAGGGCTGAGATTTTGTTTCTAGTTGCATAATATTTTTGGCAGTTTTTGGATGAGTGACAAAGCTTTTCATACTGGAAAACTAACTGCATACTGGGAAATGCCTTAATCAGTTCTATAAGACAATGCTATTAAGCCTAAGAGGACATCAGAAATGTGCTGTGCAATTAGCTGGAGACTGTAAGTCTTTCAAAGCTCAGTCTTCTGAATTAAGGAAAATCAGTTGTTACCTTAATAAGCCATCAAAACACAATGATGCGCAGTCAAGGCAACTGAGCAAACTAGAATTGGGCAGTTTTGTGTTGCTTGCATCTTTGGGTATGGATGAGAAAAAACTTGTATAACCCTATAAACCTCATGAACCCAGTGAGGTGTCACAACTGCAAACCTTTCCTGGTTGTGGCCCAGTGGTCCCACTGGGTGTGACTTGGAGCAAGGCTGTGATAGTGGGGAAGCCCCGACTGCATTTCCTAACCCTAAGATTGGAAGGAGGGTGCAAGCCCATGCACTTCCTGGTGTAACATTGCACTCTGAAATATAAAGCCATCAGCCAAGGCTGAATGAAGGAGGTTATAACTTGGGTTTTTTTACATATTTAGTCAGAGCTACAGGCTTGATGAAAGGCAAGGAACACTCAGACTTAACTCCTGTCTGCCACCATGAGTAAATTTGTAATTTCGCACATGATTAAACAACATATTTCTGTTGTAAATCAAAAGGACTAATCACCTCTTCAAGATATATTAAGAAACTGCTTTTTGAAAAGCACGCTGGTCAGTATAAGACAAGGGTGTGGATGCAGGAGCACTGGGTGCACAGAGAAATGCAACTGGACTGTGACTTCAAAGCACAAGGCTCCTGTGCTGGTGCCAGGAGTTTCCCATCTTGCTTTTTTGATATGAAGAAAACCAATGGACATTAAAGGGAAGATTGTTATTTAAGAAATTACAGACTTCTGTACCCACTGGATTTCACAGCTGAGCTTTGTTGCTCTTGAGAAGGCTGAGAAGAATAATGTGGACCAAATTAATGAGAGGTGGCAGATGTGTAGCCATCCAAGCCTGGCTGTGAAGGCTTGTTGTGAGCACTGACTGTGCTCTGGTGTCTCTCCAAAGGGAGAGACCACCTTCTGCCTGGCTCTTGAGTCCTCCCTAGAGCTGGGACATCACCCTGGAGCCACCTGGCTGTCCTTAAGTAAGCGTCGAGGACCAAGGTCTCAACTTTTGTAAGTCTGAATGCAAAAATACATCTTTTAAGATAGAACTCAGCACAAGATGAAGACCTTTACATCAGCTTTATACCTTGAGCTTTGGAGTTGAAAATAGGTGGCTTTATTTTTTAGAGTTCTCCTTTCCTTTTACTTGTTCAGTCCTCTAGCTGAGCATCTTTACTCCATCCTTCACACCTCTGGGGTCAAGCAAAACTGGAGTCAAATCACTGGGTGCATGCCTGCTTTTCCCAGAGCCTCATCCTTGCTATATTCCTTTTAAACTGCTGGCAGACCTATGACTGAGGGAAAAATTGATTATACCAAATATTCTTTACATCCACATTCACACGGGGGCATGGCTGACAAATTTCCAGTTTCACATGTACACTGAACATTTATTTTTTTTGTAACATTATATACGTTACCTCAAGTGCAATATAGAGAAAATATGCCAACTACATGCTGTTCATGTGTGTCTGCTTTCTGCTAGCACTGTACCAACAATTGGCAGACATGGCAGCAACCAAGAAGGCAAACACAAAGCTGCACAAATTGCTCATGCACCTGCACACCCTGCTTTCTGTTACGAGAGGGATGCCTCTGCCTTATTGTTTCAACATGTGCTTATTTAGTGCATGTTTAGTCCAGTGTCCAGTGCATTGAGACAAGAATGAATGAAAAGACACTCCACCTAATGAAAGGGATCTCTGGCCTTATGTGAGCTGAGCTGCTGCTTTATCTTTTGGAAAGGATGTAGCTGCTTTCTAGAGTAAAATAGATCCTGTAGACCACAGTGTCCCACAGACCACACTGCAGGCTGAGCATTGCTTCAAGTATCAAATACAAGTAACAGAGAGAGAAAATGGGAGAGGAAGAACATGTGTCTGGATCTTCAATTTCTCACCTCTGGTGAGACAGTGAAGTCTTTCCTTCCATTCATTCTTGCACATCTAATCAGATGCCTGTGAGCTTGTTTCACTTTGCCATTGGCTATGAGCCACCGTGCAGACTCTGGGACCCACCTGGTGTGATGAGAGAAGACAGTGTTCCTGTTGGTGCTCCATGTTTTCCACCCGACATACATGGCCCTGGCCGAAGAGAGGGAGTCTTCTCTATGAGACTTCAACCTCAGCTAAAATTCGCAACCTTGGTGCATGAAATGAAGAGTAACTGGACACCTGTGTTTCATGTACATGCTGTTCTACCCTTACAGGAGTACAGTCTGCTAATTGAAATATGTCTAGCCAACATTTTTGTCATGTGATCTTGGATCAAAGCTTGAATTTTATGAGCTGGTTGAAGTTTCAAACTCTCATAGATTGAAATTGGCCCCAGAGAGTTTATGTTTACAGGTTCATGCTTTTTGGGACCCTTTAAACTTTGAAATTGTAGGATATAAAAAAATTACTATGTGGAAAGGATTTAATGGGTTCTATACTTACTTCATTAATTGCTAAAATTGTTTGTTTTTCACAATAGTCTAAGCCTTCTGCACAAGACAGTCAACAAATCATAGTGACTGCAGCCCCCAGTAAAGTATCCATGTCAGTCACTGAGTGACAAAGAATGCTGCACTGCTGTAGAGGAATTAGCAACTCTGAGAGGTCTGTTCAGCAGACCTGTGTAGGGCTGGAGTTCTGTGACTCTTATTCTTCTGTCTGTTTTAGCAAAAGATCCAGCACTTACGATAAACCAGCATCTGCAGCTCCCTCTTTGTGGAGGTCTCTCCGATCTTGCATCTGATTGTGATTCATACCTACATGGCCCTGTTTGGCTCATAGCTTCCCAGGCCACAGTGCAGCCCATTTGGCCTAGAGGGTACCTGGTGTTTTGTGGGTCTGCATCACTGTCAGGGTCCAGAAGACATTGGAAATACCCTGGAGTGACTAAATTCTGCTAGAGCAACCAACACCTACACAAATCTGCTCCCTGAGGG